TTGTTGTTATGACCTGACAAAACTATACCGAAACTTTAGATTAGCGATCGAGAACGCTCAATTGTTATAGGCCATTCGATAGTTTTCGAGTAAATGCCAAATGTGATCGAGTAACGCTGAAAAATGATCGACGACGCTTGATTGTTTTTTTTTTCTATTAACGCTCGAACGTGATCGAGTACTATACACAAGTCTTCTAGGGACAAACACTGTCACACACATATTGCTATTGTAATGTAGTGAAAGGAAAATATCAAGAAAATCGCTGATATCAACAACACAAACGTTACCTCCGGGATGTAAACAGCGTGGCATAATTTAATATATTTGCATCCTGCATCTCCCGATAGCTATCGGAAGTAAATAGGCATTTTATCATTAGAATATCTAACGGAATACACCTAAGTAAATACCGAACACGCCATCATTGTGCATTCAATAGTCTACCAAGTATGGTGCTGGGTCGGGAGATCTATCAAGTAAACGATGGTGTCTTGTGCTATTGTAGGCGTAGCTTTGTGATATAATTAACGAATTTTTAACAGCTTTTGTTTGGTCACATTAATAGGTATTGTATTTTCATGTTCAAACCAAGTGTAATGGTTACTAGCTAGTAAATTGTGCAGTGTACAGCGCAAGATGTAATCTGTAAGAAGTCTGGATGGAGTTGTAAGCGTGTCCCATGAGGAAGGAAAGAATGTCAGCAGCAGCTAAGTGTCGCACTACAGTGTTTTATTGCGGGGCTGACATGTTCCTAAACGAAAAGTTCCTAAAACCATAGATAATAAAAAAAAGTGTTTTAATGCAATGGGAGATGGATTTGAGTCCATTGACAAGACATCATTTTCTAAGATTCCCTACAGTCGATAACTTCTATGTTCATTGTTGTGTTCATTCCAAACATGCTCTAAGTTTTATAAAAAATTGGTGTCATCGGAGCATTCCGACAACGCATTGGAAAATCCAATTAAACTTCGTAACAACGCAACGTCCCAGAAAACGTAACAGTTCCCAAAAGGGATCCTATCCTTGCAATGGAACCTGTCCACGCGACACACTTTGCATCCAATCCACATGCAAATCCCAGCGATGTCGCCTGCATTCCAACTACTGCAGGGTAACGGCATACACGCAATTACCGGAGGACCAGTTTCGAAATGTTGGAGCGCCGACTGTGCAGTCGACGCCATGACACCTATCTAACAAATGCTTACTTCACAACAGTACCTCTACCTACTTACTTCAACTTGATCAAGTCTAGTTAATGCCGAATTGTTTCTATAAGTGTAGGTAGCATAGCAATAGGTTCGCTACCTCTTGCATAGGAGTAGGACTCGAAGTCTTACCGAAAATCACTTAAGTAAGAATACCAATTTAGAAATAAACCTATCATCCTATTTCTGGCCTCACACAGTCGATATAGAGACAGTGAGACCTACTAAACTGTGTGCCGCAAGTATATCTGTACTTCTCCACAGAGTAGACCAGCAAGCAATTCTTTAAAACTAGTTCACAAGTGCACTGCCTGTCTAAATGCTCCATGTATTTTAATTTTACATATATGCAAAGTGCACGTGTCTCGCATAATGTTCAGTGTCCGTGTGTCCGTAATGTAAATAGCAAAGTCTAAAGTTCTGAAATAATCTGTCTCGAAGGACTGCACTAGAATCTAGATCCGGTAATGAACACCTGTGTGAGGTTCAAGTTCAAATAACTTGATTAACAATATTCTGTAGCAATCGTTTGTAAGTCTTTTATTTATTGTGAAATCACAACATTGTAGGTAGTCTTTAGAATAACTATCGTGAGACATACTAAATTTACTAAAAATCGCGGGTTGCTCACGTGATCATATACTCAGAAAAGCTCTAGTATGTAGTAGGCTGCGCGACATCGCGATCGCCGCGACCGCGCACGCTGCTCATGAGGAAGAACCCCTCTGTGGTTCGAAACTAGCCGCAATTTTGAGTTAATTGTAGGTAGTTGTTACCCACTTTAGCTTAAAATTTTTTTTATGATATGTGACCACATAGGTATCTGCTAAATCTTAGAAAATGCTTTAGAGTGCATAAATTCGAATCTACAGAGCTGGAGGGCAAAGGTAAGAGCTTTATGCCAATGATTATCCATCGGTAGAGTTGCAAGCATGCGCCCAGGGCAGAAGTTGTAGAGAGACGTGGTCAACAATGAGGTGGTCGTCACCAAGACCACGGAGGAAAATCGACCTCTCAAAAAAAATACGTTGTAGATAAATGCCAATCAATATTTTATAGATAATTATACGAGATACAAAGCACGCGAGTAGGTAGCTACATAACTTACATTAACTCGTGGAGTACCGGTTTTGTAGACACAATTATAGAACAATAGGTTGCGGTCACCGGTGACCGCTTGGTGTTTGACAGTTTAAATACAAAACGGATTCCAATTGCTAGCAGTGAAAGGTAACCATCAAGCAATCAACTCCAGCTCGCTGGACAAAGGCTATCAACGTACATGAATACATACAATAACAATACCCAATCAAATGTTTGCCTTCCGTTTCCTATTCACTAGTACAATACAAATAATATAATCTATATACTCATAGTTAAAAAAAGATACTGAATGTTTAAACACAGCTAGGATCGGGAAAAAGCTTGCTTTACACTGAAGCACTTCCACTCCACGCCGCTAGAGACCGGAATTAATCATCCACAAGAAGTGATGCAGAGGGGTGGGCACGACTCTCAGCACTGAGGAAAACGATTTGAGGAGAAGTTTACATTACTGAAGTAATTATGTAGAGATAATTCAGTAGGCTAACAAATGACTTTTGGTATCTTTTTAAACCTAAATCCCTAAGTTAAGAGTATTTAAGCACCCCACTGCTTACCCCTTAAACGTGACAATACATAGATAAGGCTCAGTAAGTAGTGAACCAGCGACCTTGTGCTCAGAGCGCACGAAGAATGGATGCGATACATGGAAGAATGGACTATACAAGAAGGTGCAGGTGCAGGGATAACGCTATTTTATACTTGGGACTTGTATGGGTACTTGTTGCCTGTCAACCGGAAACGTGGAGCGTAATGAAAACCTTGTGTCTACACAGTCCAGCCGACCAGGCGTCATCGCTTGTTGGTGATAAAACGAAACATATACCAAAAGAAAGTGGCAATATACCTGACACACGTCGACAAACAAGACAAGCAGGAATACCACAAAGCTCTGTTAGCTAGCTGCCGCCTTCAATATAATGTTCGTAGTGATCGGACAGACACGTACTTAACGCGTCCCTGTGCGAGCTTCCGCGTCGACGCACGCGCCACTTCCCATAAAGAGACGCGCGGAAGTCGTTCCACCGCGCACTCCGCGATGTAGTGCTCCCGTTACCAGGAGAAAGGGACGCCTGCCTTCTTGGACACTTAATGACTTTGTTAATGGTTTGCTATCACTAAGTACGGTGAAAGAACGCGGTCATTTGAGGACAAGTCTTAAAACTAACGCAAAATGGTAAGAGACGGTACTGGTTTTCACCGACGACCAATAGGAAGCGATGTTTAAGACCTCCATCTTTTACAAGTCATGCGTGATATTATAATTAATGCAATATGGACCAATCTGTCATAGGATCGAGTAGTACCCAAACCAACCAAGGACGACGAATTAGTTTTAAGAAGTAATCAACGTCTTCGTGTTAATAGTTAGTAAAGCAGCAACTAATAGATCTACACAAACGATCGCTAAGAGAAATGTACCTCAATAAACAGTTTGACAGTTGAAACATGGCGTCCCGTCCATCATAATGTCGTTACATTGAAACGTAGACAAAGCAGCTTGTCATATATGTGTCAGTGTAGTGAGTACCTAGTGAGTACTTTCCATTTCATCTGGTTGGCAGTGAAAGTGCAGGTGCTATTGACCTTTGCCGAGCCATCTGGTGGCCATTGATGAACGATCGGCTTGCGACACTACCACACATACAACCCGGAGCCCTCGAACAAGTTACAGATATGTCGAAAGAACATCGCAGAAAGACAACTCTGATATTTTTGTTTTTGAGTACAAATAACACAGTTGAGGTAGGTACTAGGTGGTAGGTACGAAATAATAACTACATCTGCAAATTCAATACAGTTCGGTCCGCAAGTGACTTTCGCGCATGCACACTCGCAAATAAATTGATTAAACAACAAAACGATTGTGTTTGATTAGAGTCGATCCCTAACATATCCCTGTCCCGCACACGTCGCCGTTTTGGTTCCTAAAATATTGCGTTATTGCGCAGTTTTCTGCGCGAACTTCACCCGCCGTAACTCATGAATCGTCTTGTACTTTTTTTCGAAATATGAAACATGATATATGATTTTATAGAATTACGATTATGCAATTTATTTTTTTTTTTTTTGAGATACGACAGTAATCATCTTTCGACATAATTTTTTTTAAGAAAAAAGAATAGTTAATTTCCCCCAGCAGCTCCCTGCGCCCGACCTCTGTTCCAAGAACTCTGCTATGTCCACAATATCGTCGGCAACGAAGGCGAGTGAAGTACTCGCCGTGTGGCTAAATATTTTCCATTCCAAGAGATCTGACCGACTCCTTGTTTCATAATCCTAACATAACATAAAACACATTATAACAATAAATAAAACTTATATTTAAACTGATCACGATAAGATGACCGTGGGGATGTAGCCAACTATAATACATACCATACATAACATCACGCCTTTCATCCCCGAAGGGGAAGGCAGAGTTGTACATTATGCCACTGGAGGTACAATGTAACACCCACTTTTCACTATTTATGTTATGAGTCCCATGTAATAGGGGGTGAGCCTATTGCCGTATACCGGCCACATTACCAGACTTCGTGCTACTACTATTGAGGTATTATTAAAAATACCAGCCCTTGTCCGGCAGTCGTACTTGCGACCACTCGGCCAATGAGGCAGTCAATAGGTTTCTTGTAATGTCAAGTGTAGGTACTTAGAATAAATAAAGTGAACAAGAAAGTAAATACAATAATTTGTTTATTGGTATACAGACGCTACATGATATGGATTCAATAACTTTAACATATTGTGACAATAGAAAATGTAGTATAATGACCGAGCCCTCGTCCACGTAACGATACAATGTGGACTGGCGCAGACATGTAGTACATTGTACGTATTTCATTGTTTGCACAAAAATAAAAATATATCAACTGTGTAATACATTAACATGCGACCTGTCGGACGCAGGTCTACGTGAGACAGTGTGTTTTCTATTGTGTCTCATATATCGACAGACAAGGGGTTAAAATAACTTCGGCCAATCTTACCTTTTTAATTGTTATTTAAAAAAATATATTAATAAAATTATAACGCCATTATTTTTTTTTTGTAGGTAATTGGCAGTGCTATCGCTTGAGCATACTCATATACTGAGCCAATACTTTTACGTACTCAGATTATACACTGCAAAAACACATTCATAATTATTAAAGGTTTCGTATTAATTAGATGTTATTCAAAAATCTACTTTATTCATAGACCAAATGATCACAAAATCATTTGCACCTGCATTATTCCTCACTAACTTCAGCTCCATCAGTCTGTTATCCAAACGAAATCACAGCATAACCATAATAACTTGAGTCCTGTCACTGTTGCTTCATTTGTCCCCATTGGGTCAAATGGGCAAAGCCAGGCTTTTGCCCCGGTGCTATCTATATCTGATTTTCCGCAAAGTATAGGACTTATATTTAATTATTTAACTCATATACTTTACTTGGTGAAACATAATTAGCCATCTTATATTCATGAACCGCCCTCCGTTTTCAGCAGGCATGCAGCAGAAAGTAATTAAATAATCTGCTACTAAATACTAACTTGCTATGTGCAAGTAATATTTTTGATTTTTAAATAAAACAGTACACTGACCTCTAGCCATGTCGTGTAGCCAATAGCCATTCATTAAAAAACCAAACATCACGTCAAACATAAAGTCATCAATTATTGAAAACAAGAGTAGCAGTATGGAGACAGCGACGGACCAACCCCGACATATTGGTACGAGTCCGCGTAATGAGGGGCCCGGGCCAAAGGAGGGTTCTCACCTCCACTAAAGAGAATGAATAAGATGTTTTAGCTTGAAACTTATATGATAGCGGGGTTCATCAACAGCATCATTGAAAGGGCTCCGCGCGCCCTTACTCCGGCACTGCAGCCCACAGGGTGGGTGTGTGGCACCCGGCGTGCAGTGCGGCGCAGTGTGTGGCAGGCTGCCTAGCTCCTGTTGTGTCGGTTGCCCCATCCGCGGCGATGCTCGTCCTTGTACTCGTCCATGTTGTTTTTCCTCGCCCTCTCTTCAGGGTCATCTTGTTCCTCTAGGAGCTCCTAGGATTGAAAATTAGATCATTATTTAATAGACGTAAATATACAGTATTACTATGAATTGTCAATTATGTGATACTTGCACCACTATGGGTTGTATATTTGGAATAAAACCGTAACTATAGATAACATTCGGTCATTTACACAGAAGAACTTGAGGATTGTTGGACTTGAGGAAGGAAGATGGATGCACCCGTTATAGATAAAAAAACGCGAGTACATCAAGCTACGCTAAGCTCATTATCTTTAACAGTTAATCAACTGTATTGCAAGACAATAAGATTGAAAGTCAAACATTATAATGGCCTATGTAATGTACCAAGTATACCTTTTGTATCCTCTCCTCCTCGTCGGGGTCGTTCTCAGTGCTCTGTATAGTTGTGTGCGGTATACTTGTGCATGCTCCAGGGAACCTGTTCATCAAACAATATTATTTACTTGTCTGTCTCTATTTGTAATTTACAATAATAATTCTGAGCTAAGCAGTAACAACAAATACTCATAATTTGCCAACACTAGTACCTAAACCGCAATGACGTCCAGCGAACTCAAGTCATCACCTTCGTCCACCTAAGTCTAGCAGTGAAAGGAAACATGCTGATAGATATACTCACAGGCCTTCCCTAACTCGTTGGTCGTAGAACTCCTCGACGGTGAGCGAGGGTATGGCCGGGTAGCCCGCGCCAAACACTGCCTTCTGTAGCTCGTCGCGAGTTATTATCACCGGCCTCAATGGTGCGCGGGGGCGCTCCGCTGGCTTTGGCTCTGTAACATATACATAATATGTATTAATGCCACAAGCTTAATAATTACTTAAGTTTTATCAAGTATTGCTTCGCACTCACATAAATTGACATAATATGAGAATTCAATGATGCTGTTTCAGCTGATGCAGATTCAATGTTTACAAATAAACGATTTCATTTCATTTCAGTTGAAGTGACTTTATATCTGTCTGTAACACAACTAAAATGTCAAAGTAAATATACCTCCGGCATTCTTAGCCATGTACTCCAATATAGTCTTCTCCTGCTCAATACTGCTGAGTTCTTCAAAAGCTTGGTTGATGTAGCTCTGCAGCAGTTTCAGGAAGTATGCTCTCTTTGTCTCGTCGTCTGCTGAGGACTCCATCGCTTTGGACAATACGGCTAGTTGTTCTTTCAGCTCCTGCGCCTGCTTGTACCTTCTAATCTTAGCCTCCCTGGTTTGCACCTGGAAATATCATTGATACTTACATCAGTCAGAGGGTAATTATAAACATGTAAAACTTGAAACTATTATCTACCACTTACCAAACTGGCTATCTTGGCTTGTTCACTGTGTGGCCTCTCCACTTCGCGTGAGTCACTGGTGGATGGCACCTCCAGGTCTGTTACTCCATAGTCCTTACATCTCTGGAGGAAATCTCTACAAGTACATTAAATACTTGTTAATAAACTTTACCTCTCGGCAAAATGGTCCATCTTCTTAGATTAAAATTAAGTACATAATTTTGGCCTTTAAAATATTCTTACTTGTAATAAATCTCAGCCACATTGACAAGATCAATTCGTGGTTGGTTGCACAGCTTCAGAGTGAGAGTGCCGAGCAGCGCAGGCAGCAGCAAGTAGCGCAGTGTTTCTGTGGGCAGCTCCTCCACACCCTCGTTCCGGCTGAACATCCCTGCCAGAGACACGAGGTTGGTGGCCTTCTCAAACTTTGATATTGCTGACTTTACACTCAACTGTCAATTGTAATAAAACTCATTCATATATTCATCATTATCACTTCACAGTTATATGTTGCACAAAAAATAATCCTAAAATGACTATATGAAATTTTCCATGATCATAATTATTATCTCAACTTAATGAATCAGACAATAACACCAAAGAAGTACATAGATGTATGGAATATTCTAGGGGTTCTCTTACCCTATTTAATATTGGTTAGAACAATATGAAGTGCATTATAAAACGTTCAGAATATCCTGAAAATAATAATTTGAAAAAGAACACACCTGAGTGCTGTTACTGTTTGTAGGCTCGTTGCTTTTCTCTATAGCTTCAAATATTTTCATGGCATCGTCGAATAACTTCGTCAGCGGTTCCTCGTCCATAGACATTTCAGCACATTCCTCTTTGGACACACTTATTTTCATTTTATTTATACTACTCATTTTAGTAAATTACAAATTACTTCTTTCACCGCAAAACTTGTTTTCTCGAAGGTTGGTTGTGCTAATTTGACACTGACAGGACACGGACACTAATCTGACATAAGCCTGACAGTTTATTTTGTGAATAAAAAACTTAAATAACAACTATTCCATAAATAAAATTAAAACTAAATATTACTAAATTAAATATATACAACTTATGATTAAAATTAATTATAGGAAAAATAAACTATTTATAAGGCATCGAAAAATTCGTCCGCATCGACGTCAGTGGGGAAAGTACCCAGAAGGCTGGCAGCATTGCCACGTTGTATGGCAATGCTTAACCTCTGACCGAGAAAAAGACCAGCCCTCTGGTCACGAGATGTGTCGACCAGGCGTTTCGAAATGTTTTTGAACAATTTAAGCGCACTCGGACCCCACGGACCTAACGTTTCAACCCCAAACGGCTCAAAGATATAACTACCAGCAAGGTTGTTATACTTGCGCCGCTTGAGGTTTTCTGCAGAGGCAGCAGCCGAACCAGCACAACTCGCCGTTACTGGAAGATGAGAAGGTGCAAGGGTGTCGACGCAGGTTGCGTCCCACACCAAAGACTTTCCCAGCTTCCAGGGCATAATGGACATACCGTCGGGTCTCTTACCATCGTCGCGTGCCAAACCCTTTGGTTCCAGAACAGCTGGTACACCGGCGATGACAAGAGCTCGACGGATGATGTCGTTAATGCTGGCGTGTCGGGCTATCCGGCCCGCGCTTCTGCTACACGATAGGCCGTGGTGGCCGAGGTGGTCGACCATCTCACCGCATTGACAGCGATGCGGAGAAACACAGGGTGCACCTACACGCAAGCAAGCAGCAAGCCGAAAAGTTGAGTCATTCAACATCGTGCCAATATTGAATGACGGAAGTGCCTGAAGCCAGAGACCTGATTCCCACTCACCCACAGCCAATAGGCGAGCTAACTCCGCAGGATTGGTGCTGGTATTAATTAGATTATTATGCACCAACCTGCAAAGCGGCTCGTCCCATTGTCTCTGGGAGGAAGGGTTGACAGGCAAGGCTGTATTGGGACAAGTTTCTGTCCAGGCGTTCATCGCGTCGGTCAGACACGGCACATCGGGTTCAACGTCAAGACCGGCTAAAATATTTTTTGTTAAAGTACTAGTGCTGTGGACAGAAGAGATGAACGCCGGTAAACTAACACTGGAAATTTTGCGGACGCCTAGGCCACCAAAACGAATTGGTAGTGTGGCTTGAAGCCAAACACGATCGTCCATGGAAGCATTCAAAAGTGAAGTTAATGTGTCACGGATAATTTGATCAATTTGGTCCAGAATATGCGGATGTTTCCACAGAGGGGAAGCACGCAGAAAATACATAAATTTTGGGCCGAAACAACAATAGCGAATTAATGTAAAGGCACAATGTAGATTAATTTTGGAAAGTCTATCGGAAATGTCACAGAAATTTTTAATTTTCTCGTTTATGAAATCAGAGAAACTGTTTTCGAAAATTGGGGAACCCAGGAGAAGAAGAGAGTTTTTATCAACAATTTTTAAATTCGGCGCTACGGTAGAAAAAGTGTTTAAAATTCGTTGTCTGTCAATAATTTTGTCCGGAAGGTAAATTTCGCATTTAGAAATATTTAATTCTAATCCGATGGTTTTAAATTTAGAGATCAGAAGCTGTAAGTCATGGAAAACAGTATCTGCGTCACCTCCTAAGGTTCCATCGTCCAAATACCAAACATTAAATTTAGATTTAAGTTGCCGAATAATAGGGTGAATGGCCAGACTGAAAATGACTGGACCAAGAGGATCACCTTGTTGGCAGCCTACCGCAGAATCCAAAACTTTGTCTTTATATAATAATTTTGAAGGTTGACTATAGCACTGCCAAATAAAACTGTAAATTTCAGGTAATTCTTTTTTAACTTCAGCCAACAAAGTGTCCCTATTGATGGAATTGAATGCATTTTTTACATCAACCTTAAGGATGACCTCACTTTCGTTTGTATTCAAGAAAGATGATAGGGCGTGTACGGCAGCCTCACAACCCCCTTTTGAGCCGAAGCCTAGTTGGAGGGGTTGAAAGTGCGACATGAGCGCATCTTTATGAAAGCTGCAACACAACTTGGCTGCCAAACGCCTGTAAGTACAACCTACGGCAATGGGACGTATGCCGCCATCTTTTTTGCGTAGGGCACATAGATTGGCCCCGTACAAAATGTCGATAACGGCATCCGTCACATTACCGGAGAGCATTAAATTAACCAAAACCGTTAGCTCCTTCAGAAGAGACTCACCGGCTTCCCCGACGTCTGGCCCCGTCAAATCCTTAAGATGTTGAGGAGTCAGACCATCAAGTCCACCAGCAGAGCCACTGCGGAAGGAGCCAACGGCTGCGGCTAGTTGCTGGACAGTTGCGGTGAAAGTATGAATTGGTTCAGGAGGATCGGGAAAAGTGAGGTCAGCCCTAGCAGGCGGGTGTTTACTCTTCAGAGCTTCAAAAGTTTCTGAAGAGTAGGGAGCAACCACGTCACTACTGAATAAAAGCCTGGCGGCTCCGCTTATATCACCTTCACCTAATTTGGATTCTACGTAGTCAAAACGAGTTTTTTTAATATTATTAAAGGAGTTAGGAAATTTTGGGTCTAAAATGGGGTTCAAAATACTACAATTACTTTTAATTTGTGAGGTTAAGTTTTTTTTAACAGCCAAATTTTTTTTCACGTGTAGAATCCTGTAGGGGAAGGTGAGTAACTGCTCCCAAGCCGAGAAAGAGTTCTCCCGAGTTGCAAGACGAATGCAATTTCCTAAATTAAGAGCCACGGACCGTCTTGCACCACGAGGAACTCTTTTTAAAACAGGTGTTGAATTTTTGAATTTGGATAAAGTTTCCCATAAAGGCTGATTTGAAACCGGAAAAGAATTTTGTAGAGGAGTAGTGTTAGAGGGGGATAAGGATACACTATGAGATTTGTGGATTTTTCCATAATGTATTCTTAACCCGCGTTCTCCTTTAAAAAATCGAGGCTGAGAGCACAAAGAACATCTTACCAGGCTCTCTAGAGGTTGATGGGCACATTGAGGAGCACTTCCAGACTCAACGGCTGCATCACATGAATGCATGTAGGTCGAAAGCCTTCAAAAATGTATCAAAAAGTCTAAAATTAAACTAATTAAACAATAATGATTAATAATTAAACTTATAAAAAGAAAAAATGGTCAAGGACGCTGGGCTGCCGCGCTGTCGCGCAGCGCCGCGCTGTCGCGGTGTTCCGCGCCTCCACGCCGTCCATATCTTAAGAAAGACTGTTCGCCCAAGCGGCAATGTTGGAAGAAATGCTCGGAGACGGTTAGAATCGTTTTTCGACAATGAGTCAAATTTGTCAGCACGTCGAAGCAGATAGAAGTCAACGCATAGAAAGATTTAAAGTATGCAGCAGACAGGCCACTTGTATTTCGCCTTTAAATTCATTTTTATAAACACAATCACGTCTCGATGAAAATAATACACACTTTCGAGTACAAATTTAACAATAATTCACTTTTTATTTAAAAATTTAAATATCTTGTTGACTTTGGCTGTCAATTTCTGCCAATATGCCACATAAGCCTAATAAGAGGTGTCAATGCAGACCATAGATACATCTATGATGCACAGTGATGATGCACGTATTAGAGACTCGGTTGCCAAACAGGAATAAAAGAGGAATAAATAAATGACAAATATTTTTTATTAGATTCTTCGACAACGTGGATGTCAAGTGTTAATTAACCAGTATGGAACGGAACTGTAGTTTCACCCAAGTATCAACAATTTCACAAAATTGTAGGAGTATATATGCATCAAACATCAAAAATTAATACTTTCAATCAAATTCAAAGTTAAAAGGTTTGAGTATGACACTTTTGAAAATAAACTAACAATTATTAAAAAAATAATAGATATGGATAATAACATCCTAACAAAACAATAAAGTGATTAAAAAAGTTTCGTTCAAGCAACACCCACCCAACACAAATATTCAAAATTGTTTTTCTATTGCGCCAGTTAATATAATTATAGCAAATACGCAACGCTAAGATTCGTTGCCCCACCACTTATTTAAATAAGGGCAGAATGTAAATATAAAATCATAATATATTTACGGTAACTACACGTACCAGACAATATTCACTTATCTATTGAAAATAAGTAAGTTACCAAAAATTTCAAAACCCAAGTTTGATCCCTAGTCTTCGCTTCCAAAGTCTTTTTGATATCTCAGTGCTCTCAGCTATCATTTACCACCGATCCACTTCCACCACACGTCTTCACTCTACACAACATACTCACTATACAGGCCTATCTTACTCCCAATGCAAAAGCTCCCTAATTGATTATTTTTAAATGCAGCTGATATACCTAATATGGAACATTATTTATTTATTTATTTATTTATTAACACTTCTGTATATAACATACGATGGCGGACTTAATGCCGGGTGGCATTCTCTAACAGTCAACCATGGGGTGATGCAGAGATGTGCAACAGTAGGTGTAATAGGTATAATGGTTTATGTGAAGCATAACTGTAAATACATACATATATCCGTATATATAGGTATAATGTAAATTACATAAGATACATTATCAATATTACTAAATAACAATACTATAAAAGTGAATAAATAAATTGGGAATAAAAATACATATAATATATATTTATAATATATATATATTTATACATATATATTAAATACAATCGCCAAAATGATAAATTAAGTAGGTGATGCGTCTGTCTGTTCCCTCTGCAATAGTTCACGAACCTTAACTTTAAAACTAAGCCGGCTGGTTGCCGTCCTGACATCCGTGGGCAGCGCATTCCACAGCAGAATGGATTGGACAAAGAATGAAGAGTGAAGGAAGTCGGTCCGGTGCGTGGGACATTGTAGAAGAAGATTATTAGTGGAACGAAGATACTTGCTGTGGTTTGCACTTATGAACTGAAAATAGGAGGATAGATAGCTAGGAGAAGTGGGGGAATTAAGAAGAGAGAATAAAGTGGTTAACGCCCGTTGTTTCCTGCGTTGACGTATGGGCAACCACTTTAGTTGCAACCGATATGCAGAGACATGGTCGTATTTACGCAGGTTAAAGACGAATCGAATGCAGTTATTTAGAAGGCGGTCAAGTTTATTGAGGAGATCTGCATTCAGGTCGTAGTAACACACATCAGCGTAATCAATTATGGGGAAAACCAAGGACTGAACAAGCATCGCCTTGGTCGACGACGGAAGGAAGTTTTTTAACCGATAGAGGGCTCGCAACGTCCCCGTGACTCGCTGACAGACACTAGTAACATGAGCACGCCAGGTTAAGTTGCCGTCGATGTGCAACCCAAGATTTTTGACATCACTACTAAATGGAATGACCGCACCGTCAAATCGGACTGGCGGTACCGTTGCACTGTTAACCTTGCACAAAGTGCGGGAGCTACCTACTATTATCGCCTGACACTTGCTCGGGTTGACATTAATGCCAAATTTCCCAGACCAGTTAGATATGGCAGTCAAGTCCGCGTTCACCTTCGCAACTGCATCAGGTAAGTCCTCAATCTTGACTTGACAGTACAATTGCAGGTCGTCGGCATACAGATGGTACGCACACTGAAGTTCGGAAGTGATAAGGTTTATGAAGATGGAGAATAGAAGAGGAGAGAGAATTCCGCCTTGAGGAACCCCAGCATCTAAAAGGCACCAGTTCGACGAAGCCTCACCAACCTGGACCAATTGCTGACGTTCCTGAAGATAAGATGAAAACCAATCCAGTGCACCATCAGAGCTATTATGGAAGCATCATTATTATGGAAGGAAGTATCTACTCGATATTTCGGTAATCATTTTTGACGTCGACAAATTCGATTTTCATGACGTCGTCGGTCAGTTAGTCGACACCGCGTGATATCGATGTAATCGATGTAATTAAACATGAGAGCTATGATATGTTGATTAAAGGATCAGAAGATACGAGAAATGGACAGCACTGGCCGTTTAAACTGTGTGTAGCAGAGCTGTCCTCATCAGTACCTAAGTTCAGTCGAGAGCCGGTGGCCGACAAGTGAGCACGTTGTGCAGCGACACATGTAAGTCATTCTACATATGCACCGGTACGGAAAAATTACTGTGACCTCGGTACATACCAAGCGTGCCTTCAGCGACGCGAACTTCGTTTATGTATTCCTTTTTGATCAAACCAGTGCCATCAAGTTCACTTTGAATTCATAAAGTTCATCGTGCAGCAGTTTTTTCGTTCTTGTAAACATCAATATACCTTTCTGTTGTAAGATTCTAAGATATGTATCTACCATAAGTAAGGAATTACTATCTTTACAAGGTGAATAGTGAATGTATTCTAAAAGTGGCTTCACTACTTCTCTTCTTCTAGACTTGCGACAGAAGCCCTTATTCATACATTCATTAACGGTTACATCGCGCGTAGATAACGCATTGTTTTGTTTACTTCATAACACGGCTGTTCAAAGGCATTCCTGTATCTAATAATCGACATAGCGGAATTAGGTACCTCCATAGATACCTAGGTACTTGCAGACTTGCAATAAAATAGTACCTATAACATTTCCACATTTCATAATAAGTATTTTATGGTGTTTTATATCTCATGTCATTATTATGTTACGAGGAGCTTTGTTTTATTTTTTTACATTTGTTTACTGTTTAATGTTCTAATGTTTGTAAACTTAATTAGTCTAGACTACATCTATATTCTAAGATAGATAAGTAGGTACCTGATGCCTAATAATAAAGAATAACGAAGTTTTTCAATTTGCACGTAAGTAGGTAGTAGCTACGTCGAATATTTAGGTATTTTTGTAATAATCACTTAACTACTTACGAAAGCTTTTTTTCTTTTCTTTAGATCTAAATAAATTGTGTGATAATCATACTAATATGTACCTACCTAATAAGTATATTACACTATAGTGTACTCAGTTATTGCGTCATAGTGCCTACGACACAGTATCTATGACTATATATGTATAATATATTTCCTGAACCTTCACATTGGTCATACTCATTAGTCTATAATTAAAATTAATCGTTTCAAGTTCAGGCTAATACTATCCGCTTATTGTACTTAGAGTTATTTCTATGTAGGTACTTATTATTGAAGATTACTGCGCAGTTACTTTTAAATACTAACATTATACAAACAGATAAATAAAGTTCATTTAATAGTGTTTATTATTATTTTTAATTCGTCTCAAATAAAAATATATTTACGTATGTACATACCTACCTATGTTTGTAAATCATATATCGATGACATTTCCACTGAATACAGTCTCAGCAAAATGACATAATTTCCTACCGAACAAGTAAGACATGCTGGGCTGTGCAGTACCTTACCTAGGTACTAACTAGTGCCATTAAATAATACAAAAATAACGTCGATATTCTAGCTGCTGCCATCAGTTTAGCCCGCCCGCGCCCGTGCAGTAGTTTGTGCGTGAAATTATAACAAACGTCATACATACACAACCACAATCATATACATATACATTCTGACAAACTTTGCATTTATAATATGTTTAGTACTTAGATGTGATTGGGCAGGTTCTTCAATCTGTCCCACGCAGTCTGCCCAAGCCAACCAGTACGTTGAATTTTTTTGTCTGTTTTCTTGTTGCACAAACCCTATGTGCTATATGCCTGACTGTTTGCGTTATTAATGTGAACAAATGTCAATTATAATTAGTAGGTACCTAATACGTTATGTCGTAAAATCAAATGAATGAATGGCACTAGCAGGACGTGAACCCGCAACACCCATCTCACTCAGCGTGTTGGTGCTCTGCCTTCACTTACTGCATCAGTACCTATCGTGTATTTATTTACTTATTTATTTTTTAAATGGCGAATCAACAGCTACATTATACAAATTTAGCAGAAAAATAGTAACATTGAGCCACTTCCGTTGTTTAGGTACCAATGTATCTAGTTAGCGACTTGTAAGCGACCGTCTCATTACATTAACTGCCAGAGTCAGTTTAATAAATTAACTTCATCGATTACAATTATTATTATATTATTGCTAGTAGTAGTAGTTCTCTAGTTTAGTATGACTCAGACTCGTGTGTCGAGTGACCACGCCGAGTTACCCACTGACTGACTTTACACTGCTTCATTGATTATTTAAATAATTATGATAGCTGCAGCGAGTCAGCGAGTATAATTAATTACTGCCATGTTGCTCTAGTGATCGCGAGCGTGACGTCACACCATGTGGAGGTGTGTGTCAATAGTCAATACTTTGTCTCACAGTTGGCCAAACTTTTCAGTATCAAAGAAAGGGTTTACTTTACTCACAAGGAAAGCAGCGGAATATTTGTGTGGATATTGTAATGTGGCAATAAGGCCAATCAGGTATCAGGGTCAGTGATCCATTTATTATACCTAAGAGTTAGCACAACTAACTCGTGATGTGACCTAACATCATTGTATCGTTTCTGGAAAATTCTGGCGGGAAACGCGTCGCACGGCTTGGACAGGATGCAGACTATTACAGTCATTGTCCAGACAATCCTATGCCATGCCTTCACTTACACAATCGTTATTTTAATTCCAATAAGTCTCCAAGCGCGCAGTCCATGAACATACACATTAATTACAACCAGAAAAATAAGTGAAGTAGTTCAACATCGATAAAATAATGTTCTACTAAATAACTAAATGAAATATTTTATCTCAATCAATCGAGTGATATCTGACATTTCAGCTGGACTGCAGGAGCTATCTACTGTTAATCCGAATGTGTTTACAGAACGATAACAGTTGTTTTATGATCAAAAACTCATATCGATGAACAGATGCTAAAGATTCTAAACACTGATTCACATGTTTCTCTGACGTGACACATCTCATTAGCGCAAGTCTAAACAAAAACAACTATCACGATGTCCACTCCGTCGTTAATTTCTAACTAGCACATTCTGTTCCAGACAATGATGGCCACTCAAATCCAGCATTGAAGGCACATCATCACAATGGCTCAGGTCACGGTACTTGCTCTCTGGATGTTTGCTTTCGGCTTCAGTTTCGCCTTCAATGGAGACAGCTTTGAACAGGAATGTCCGGACGAATGCGACTGCCACTACTTCAGGATTAACTGGGTGACTGACTGTTCGGAGAGCAACCTCACAGAAATCCCATACGATGAGCTGAGTCTTAGCGTGTACATCTTGGACTTGAATGGCAATAACATCACGAGCCTCAAGCCCTTCCCTGGAGATATCAAGATGAGAAGACTGCAGATAGCCAACAATCACCTTACAAGGATTGATAAAGAAGCTTTCAAAGGATTAGAATACCTGATAGACGTCGATCTGTCAGGGAATAACATCAGCTACGTTGACCCTGAAGCCTTTCTGTAAGTAGCTTGTCTAATTGATCAGACCGTGGCATTTAGTTTTGTAAAGTAATGTTGTGGAACAATGATGGTATTGTAATTTGTAATTAAATTAAAGTGTTAACAGCTGCAATGCATTCCCTCTGGCCATTGCCGCTTTATTATGAAATAACATCGTCAAGCAACAAGAACAAAACTTGACTGAATGATTGCTCATTTATAAACCGAAGTGGTTTGTAACTTTCTATCATAAACAAAAGAACTGATAATGTTACACTTTTACAGTAGTTTTTATATTATGTTTACGCTCAGGTTACTTTGAACCACTTTTATTTTATTTTGTACAAAAATCATACCTAAAGTCGAAAGTCTCGTTACTCGCTACCAATAAAATTGTTTAAATAAAATGTAATATTACAGTGCCTATAAATCGATGTCCCCTGGAGTCCCTATGCATACTTGCAACAATACGTTAACAATATCATCACTAAAGGTCAACAAATGAGTCATGATGGCCACCGACTCACCACACACACATTTGTTTACTTCACTTACAAAGAGTAATGTTCTCACGGGCGAGTATTATCTGCCCGTTGGCTCTTGACATTCGAACGAGGAACACAATACGTGTTGATGATAAAATTGTTCAAATTGCTCTTAAACTCGTTATGGTACCAGAAGTGAGACCAATTGCTGGCAGTCCGATGCCAATATTGGATAATAGTCACCCAACGATGCAAATTCAATTGGCTAGATCGCCGTTTACATGCTTACGTTCATTACGAGTAGTGGCGTTCCACAAAAGACCCTGTTACCTTCAGGCTCCAGCTCCAGTACATTAGATATAACTCACGACACGTGTATATATACACGACAAGTCTCTGCGAGTGCAAGCTCATTGTAGATCGTAGGTACCATACCATATACCATGTATATAAAACCAAGCTTTTTATTTTTCAGGGATGCTCGAGGTCTCCTGAATGTCGAACTGCAAGACAATCCATTGACCAACGTTGGAGGACCTTTTTTGGCCTCCTCTACGCTACAGTATTTGGATATCAGTTTTTGCAATCTATCATCGATAAATTCACAATTCTTCGACAACATCACAACATTGACAACATTAGACCTTTCAGGAAATCCTCTTAAGTCCCTAGAAGCGGGAATTTTTGATGTGCTGACCAGCCTGGAGACGCTGAAACTTAATGATTGTAAACTCACTTCTATTTCTGAAAACGCTTTCTCCTCTGCCACCAACATAAAATATTTAGAATTATCTGGTAATAACTTAATCAATGCAGACTGGCCAGAGATCCTCGGCAAACTGCTTCGACTAGAGTACCTGAACTTGAAGAAATCAGGGCTGACATCACTGTCTGAAGACACTTTCTCTAATTGCACTAATTTGGTTACACTTATCCTGGCTGATAACGAGTTACGAGACTTGGATGTCGCAGCCACCTTGGGTAGCAGCGTTACTCATTTAGAATTGTTGGATTTCTCTAACTGTAACATACAAGGCCCTGTGTCTGGAGAAACATTCACAAATGCTACCAGATTGAAAACTTTATATTTGTCTGGCAACCCATTAGTTGCAGCAGACTTGCAAGCAGCGTTGGAACCGTTAACAAAACTTGAACGATTATTCTTAAGTCACTGTGGCCTTCGAGATTTGCCAGATAACTTTAATGTTTTCGATAACCTACTTGAACTTGACATATCCCATAATCCACTGGAAAACGTTTTCACAAAGTTATTAGCACCACTCGAGAAGTTGGAATATCTCAATATGGGCTACAGTAACCTTTCCTATATCGGACCAGATACATTCGCCAAAATGACGTCGATGAGAAGATTAGTACTATCTGGAAACGATCTCTTATCTCTAGAAGCAGGACTTTTTGGTAATTTGACTCAACTTACTACAATAGAACTGGAGTTCTGTGGCCTGAAACGACCTTTGAACGGATTAGCTTTCTTCAAAAATCTTACATACATGGACTTACGCGAGATACGTCTTGGAGGAAATCCTTTAGTCATTCCTGCGTCAGGACCAATATTTCCGAAACAGCTATCTCAAGTTTCAATCCTCGATCTTAGTAACTGTAATATATCTGCACTGAACGCGGACGCCTTCAAGAACACAGAAAATATAACTGAGCTCAATCTCGGTGGAAACCGCATCAGATCTACAACGGGAAGCTTGTCCTTCTTAGAACGTCTACATCACTTGGAAAAGTTGAACCTTGGAAGTAATAACTTGACCACAATAGATCCTGAAGTATTCAGCAACAATCCCAAGTTACATTTACTCAACCTGCTGGACAACCCGTTTGTGTGTGACTGTAAGATCGCAGAGATGTGGGACTGGGCTAATATGATAAAAGGCGATCTCGATGTTCTGGTTGGGGCAAAGAGTGCTGAAAAAGACATCGTGGTCAAAGGAAATAAAAAGAAGAAGAACCTATATTGTCGATACAACGAAACTCAGCTCCGGAACATGACCACGATGGTGAACAAGACGGTGCCGGGCAGGAGGCCATTCGCTAAACCTAGAGAATTAACATTTGCTAATAGAACATGGGCGAAGTATGTGAGGGAATCTGGGTGTGAGCCGGTTGTGAAAATTCTTCGACCGGTAGCTTTAGTCGGTGAACAATATGATTACAGCTATAGTAGTCAAATTTCCACAGGAGTCGCAGTTGTAGCCGTTATGGCTTTGAGCTTAGGAGTTGCTACGGTCCTCATGACGATCAAACTGTTTAGAAGGAAGAACATAGTCGAATCGGATTCTGAGACCAATAGAAAGGTTAGATAGCGGGCAATGGAGTCCGAGTGCCAGCTGCCAGTGTATCGTCAGTCGCCACCGACTTAGTCCTTCGGAAACATTGTTCCATTTATTCTTGTATTTACTCTCGTCTGTAGTTCTAATAGTTTGTCGAGAAGTTAAAGATTTAGAAGTTTCGAATTTATAATACGGTCACATTGGTCACTTATTTATGTTATTTTACTAGTCACATCGCTTCGATTGAGGTCATGATTCTCATACGGTTTGTGAAGTTATAGCTTATGTTAAGTACCTATCAGTATTGAATTAATAAAAATATAGATTCCTAACATTTTTTATCATTTTATTATTCACTATCTTCTTCCAGCGGCTTCACCCACGTTTTCATTGAATAAAATGTAGCCTATGTGTTATGTCATGCCACAGCCTACCCCTGTTCTAAAAGTTGTTTCAGTTTAGTAACAAACACACACACACACCAGCGCACAAAGTGTCGCATTTACAACATGAGGTCTACTAGCGACATAGACTAGTAAGACTAGGTGCTAAAACTTCCAGTGAGGTCATTGTTGTGTATTTGATTAACGAGAATACCAGAGTTTTACATCGAAACAGTCATTCAACGAGCAAACATTGAAAATAGATTTATTGGAAAACCGATTGGTTTCATTTGTAAAACCACTGACTGGTTGTGAGCAAAGCAATCTTTTTGTCTATTTCTTCACAAGTAGCCGTCTGCAACCTGTCAGCGTATAATCGAGAGTTGCTCAAGAGATACTCCAAGGTACTGCTGTATCACTTTTTTTAATGTTTTCGAAATGTTTATTTTTTTTAAATTTCAATGGACATATTTTACTAAAACGACCTTCATTATATTTGACCTGGTATAATAATTTAAAACTATTAAAATTCACACACCGATGACGTCAGAATACATTGCACTTGCACTTGCGCTCTGCTCTTAACAACAAAAAATGTTCTCGCGTGTGTAGCCTATCATCATGGATCGCGTGATCATTGCAGTGTTGGTTCCGATCGAGGAAATCAATGCAGGATCGGAACACATGGTAACTACCGGATACGGAAGGAACTGAGATTCAGGAATGCATTCATTTACAGTCATCAATTTGTTTTATGATAGTGGAGCTACTTGTTTTATGAAGTGTAGCGACGAAGTTGTAACTTAATATATTTCATAAGCAAGACTGTCGATATCCTCTAGATCCATTCAGTATGCGTAATCAAAATCAGACTTTTTGCGATTGAAACGGTCACTGATTCTATAGTTTATTTAGAGAACAAAATTGTCTTTTTGTTTACCGATGAACTCTAAGATTTGTTACAAAAAGTAGCTACCGTCACGTAATATATTGACAGATAGAGAAAGTTTAATTACGTAATATTAAAGAAATAGAATAAGCAATTGTTATTAAGATCACAGTTTAATCTAAATCATATTAATCGAATGAAAACTACGTTTAAATATTTTGACTATTTATTAATTTACTATTACAACTTAACGTAAACAACAATAAATAAGTGTTATCAGCTAGCTGGCACCCCACCTGCTGTGCTAGTTTTCTTAATGTACCAGTTTTCTTTGTAGACTTTCTTCCTCATGCCTGGCTTTTCACTTTCAGGCCTATGCACGCTGGCCATCGCGGCCAACTCACTGTCGAGAAGCTTTGGTATTGATATCGGCTCGAAACCGTACTGGAACTGTGGCTCTACGAAGTTAGTCTTGGTCTTGTACCTCTGGTAGGGCCGGGACGCAAAGGCTGAGTTATCTCGCGGCGTGCCCTCTGAGTAATCGTATTCGTACAACTGTTGTTTAGGCTTGTGGTGGCCGTAATACGACTTTGCTTTTTTTTCATTCTTGGACTGAAAACCGAATGTTGGTGCCACCGAGTATTGCGCGAATTTCGGTTTCTGTTTCTTTTTGTCGTTGTCGTCTCCATCGGCTACGTAATAATCAGGTTGCTGTTGCTTGTACAACTTGTAATAGCCCAACTTGTTCTGGTAGCGGTCGAGCAAACTCTCGGGCTTGCTAATTGAATAATCAGTGTAATAATCTTCCTTCATTTTGTCCCTGGAGTCCTTATAACTGGCGCGAGCCTCTTTAGGGAACTCATCGCCTTCTTCCTGGTATTGTTGAAATGGCGTATTTTCAATGTTGTACTCGATGTGGTCTGGCGGTACTCCGTAACTCTCAGGATCGAAGATATCCTTTTCTTCCGCTTCTAATGCTTCTTTGCTGTAGGCGGGAAAACCAAAAGCAGCATTCTTGTAAGCTTTCTCAAAGTCTTCTTCATTATTTTCTTCTCGGTCGAATACTTCTTCTTTCATCTGTTCTTGATGCATGTGTCTTTCATCCGGAGCCTCATCATGAATAATAATGCGTTTTGATTTCTCCTGGATATGAGCAGCTGGTGCATTATGTGACTCGTGCTGCGGACTTGAGAAATGAATGTGAGAGTGCGGTGGTGGCGGAGGTTGCGGTTGTTTCTGCGCGGACGGCAGGTGATGTCGATTTAATTCTCCATGGTTGTAAGTTAATGGAGTATTATGGGATTTAGACTGGGGAGAGGAATAATGGTGATGTGATTGTTGCGATGGTAATTGATGAGGCTGTTTCTGCGGCGAGGAGTGGTGTCCATGCGGAGCCTCGGACTGCTGCTCTCGCTGAGGAGCGCGTGCGTGGTGTTCAGACTCCGCGTGAGGGACGTGTTGTGTGGGGTCCACTTTTATTTGAGCATTGGCGAGCAGGCGTATGTCTTCTTCATATTCCTGTACAATGGGGTCGACAGTAAAATGTTCCTTATGTTGTATCGGGCTGGCATTGTAATTGGATGTGTCTGCATTCGATCGATGCTCCTGTGGCTCATCATTAATTGGCTGGCTTGGCTTATGGTAGTGACTTTGTTCCTTATGTGGTACTTCATCATATTCCTCAGACGATTTAGGATGATCATTATAATTGTTTTGATAACCTGGACCACTGTCTTCTGATTGTTGAGCAGAATCTTCGTGGCTAATTGACTCGTTATCAGGAACGTTTTTGTGGACATGCTCTTCCTTATGCAGTTCCTTTGGTTTAAAATTATAAACGAGATGTGACGGACCTTGAGTCTTGCCGTAGTACCGTACTTGTTTTACTTGACCCGGATCTGTAGACGAACGTGAAAAACTATATGTTACTGGTTCTTTTTCAGATTTAGAACCATAACTATAATGTATTGGTTCAGGCTGTGTCTCCTTGTTATAACTTATCGCCTTTTCTATATAAGTCTCCTTATGCCCAGGAGCATTAATTTCATAAACAATTTCTGGAGCATCATCCAGCGTCTCGTGGAGGGTTTTCTTCGGTGCATCATTTTTTTTGTTGTGTTTGTGTGAGTGTGTTGGTTTCTTCTCTTTCTTTTTATTTACGTTTTTCTGTGGCTTTTCATTTGTATTCCTACTATCATATGACATCGTCTTTTGAACCACAAATTCTTTTTGATAATTGTTAACGCCATCTGAGTTTGCCTGAGGCAATTTTTCATAAGTGGCTTGGTTAATTCTAGGTAAGAAATGTTGTACTTGAGGGACGAGAGGATTCTTAAAAGTTAACGGCTCAAGAAGAGTTAAATCTAGTAGAGGGATAGGTTCACTTTGCACTTTTACCACAGACTTCTTCCCATTGATATCATTCACATACGTGAAAGTTGTCTGCTTTGTAGGCGCAGATTGAATTTGAGCTTTGTTGTTGTGAAGGTTGTGAGGATTTCCTCCTTGGTGTTTTAAACTCTCTTGCACACTTTCAGAGGTATGCTCCTTGGCAGTGTTAGGTTGTTCTTGTAGACGTTGGAATTGCGTATGGCCTCGAACTTCTTTGGGTATTTCGTGAATGCGCTGGAACTTTGTTTCACTTGCACTAGCGGGTGATGTTATCTGTTTGCTCTCTGACTTAGGTTTGCCAACAATTATTTGAGGTGTTTGTTGCTGTCGTTGGAACTTTGGTTCATCTTTTAAATTAACATATTGCTCATGTGATTCTGTATTGGAGAAAACATTTTTGTTATTGCTTGATTGTTGTTGGGCCGTTGGAATTTTAAAACCATGGTTTTGAGAAATTGAAGATGGCGCTAAACTTTGCACTTTATCCGCATACACTAAGCGGCCGAAGCTCGGAAATTGATTAAGAGGTGTCGGCGCCGGAGTCTGCAGCGACGAAACTCTGATCGGCGCACCAAAGAACACTTGCGGGCCCGATTGCTGGAATTGGAAGTTGGGCGAAGCTGCAACCAACGGTTGAGCCAAATGTTCTGGCAGTGTAGGTTGAAGCGACACGTATTGTTGCGAGAATGCAGCTTTGTATGGGAGTTGCTGGGGCGTTCCGAAGTATCTGTTCCCATACGAGTCCATCAAATAAGTGTTTATGTTTTGATTCACTGGCTTCTGTTTCACTGCGGCTACTTGTGAGGCCGCTGGCTTCGGCGCGGCGACAAACTGAGGCAGGTGGAACGAGTAGGCCGCGTACGGAGCGGCGCTGGCGTACACTCCCACGGGGACGTTTCCGTACAGGCGAGGAGCACTTTCTGCACTTACATTGTCTGCGACACTTTGACTGTTTTTATCACACAGGGCTTGACTTAAAGTCAGCCAGCACACAGCCGCTAATATTGTCTGTGGACAAAGAGAAATAAATATGAAATATATAATTTAATAACAACTTCTGAACAACATACCTAATTGATTATCTTTATTGGATTATTGTACTACAACTAAGTAAAAGAGTTTACCTTTCTCCCCATGTTGGGCGACGTTGTGTCGAGACAGTGGGAGCGGCACTGCAGCGGCGCGGCTCCCTCCGCAGGCTTATATCGTAACGTGCGCAAGCGCAACCAACCAACAACGCTCGTCTTTTTGCAAATGCCACTCTATTTTCCTCCGTCTTAGGCACGGACACCCGTTATATCATTAAACATTCGGTAGTGTCCAATAAAATAAACGAAATTTGTTATTATTCGTTTACTATTTAATCAAAAACGGAAAATAAACAAACTACTTCCTGTGTCCGGCCACGTAACATAATTATAAGGTAACATTACACGAACGTCAACAATAGATGGGAGCTGCCCGGTTACGTCAACTGTGACTGGGTGATAGACTTGTTGTAATACCTCTCGTTCGATGGACAGCGACATGCGACTTATTGCACTTGTTATAGACAAAGTCAGTTAAGGGAGCCGGTACGGACTCATTTTCACGCCCGAAACAAGCGCTATTTGAGTAACAACACCGCAACGGAATGTCACAACGGATCAAGGATAGACATCCACCAAGTAAATGGGAAAATTATTTTCGGTCGTTATCTGAATCAATTATTATTTATTTGCGGTAATGATGTAATTGTTTTCGCGTATCGATCGATGAGAGGAACATCACATCACAGATGAGGTTACTTTCCTAACCCACTAGCTTTCTTAGGTACTTCGGTATAAATCGTCACGGTCAGCGCGTTAAGCAGCCTAGGCTAGCCTAGGTACTGGAAACCCAGTGAAAGTTCATGTATCAGCGGCACCAGTGGTCATCGGTCAAGCGTGAGAGCGTAAGCCTGTATCGAATGCACGGACAACTGATATGTGAAGTGTGGCGACCACTGCGAGCGGCAAAGCCACACAAGGTACCTACCAAGGTACCTACACTTGAAACCGAAGTATTGTAGATAGAGCCTACCTAGCTAAAAAAATATTTGATTTAGTCCTTCAAAGATCTCCAGGCATGACCTATCATTGTACACTTATAGGTAGTTTCAGCCCTTAGTGGCTGTCATTCAGCACTGCATAAGTAACATGAGAACATATATAGGTAAGGTAAAATGGGGTGAATAGGAATCGAGAGGTAAATAGGGACAGACGAGGGGTGAATCGATACTATCGAAACTTCCATGTCCGGTGAGGACCTGCGTCAGGCGGTAAGTGAGGACGCCGTACGTACACTCCTCAAAGAGGGCCCAATATCTATTCACCCCTCTTCTGCCTCTATTCACCACTTGATCCCTATCCACCCCATTTTACGGTAATATTATTATTAGGTACCCATTAGCTAACCTTACAGAATGGAAATGCAATGATTACGGAGCGAAACCACAAATTGTACTAGCCACAAGGCAGGTAGGTACTTGGCAGTAGCTGCCTTGTAAGCTAAGTACCTAGTATAGGTATTTCCATTTTTGTTGTGGTTCATTTCTTAATGACAACGCTACTGCTAATCTATCATCAGGGAAAGCAATAAGCATCGTTTCTCAAGACGGACTGGCAATTTCAAACTTTTAATTTAATTTTGTTTTGCCTCGTGTGTAAGTGAGTTTACCGGAAGCCCCATCATCCCTTATCGCTAATCCCCAAACCATCAGACCCTGACTGGCCGGCAACGCTGTTGTACCTAACTCCTCTGGTATTTCGAAGTCCATGCATGGGCAGTGCCAATGTGTCTAATGGTTGCTAAATTGTATTATTACATATTATCATGATTACTGATTTTGACAACCTTTTCCAAATAATGACAACCGAAAGCTCACTGTCTTCTTTAGCAGAGTAATGTTTCATAATAATGCGATATTATCTTGCATTATTCACATTAGTGCAATTCTTAATCCCATACATACAAGCTATAAATTCTTGAACTATTTTTATTTTATCTTCAATGAAAATATCAGCAGCTTCTGTTAATGACACAAAAATAGCAGCAGCAGCATTAAAAAGCAGCTGTTATGCCCTGTCCTCTTCTAACGCACGGAACGGTTGCTTGGGACCTCTCAGTCTTACCTATTCACTCGCGGCAATATTTCACTATTTAAAATTCGACAACCCTAATTCAGGACTGATTTTTCGCAGGCAACCCTATTTTATCGTGTTCATAATTAAATGATCTTTATATTGATTTAAATTTGATTAAATTATCAGACCGTTGCAAAATCCTACTATAAATTTACCTGTTTAGACCTGGCAACCCGAGAGTTATGACTGGAATACAATAGGCAACCTAACGTTTCCATATTCTATGGGCTTCATACTTTCGATTGAAATGGAATTTGTTTAAAAGTCAAACCGGTGAAACATTTGAAAAAAAATATTATTTAAATTATTACCCTAACTCTTCAGCTAATGTATTAAACAAAAATATTATTATTAAGTAAAAAAATAATTACGTAGGTAATTTATTTTATTTTTTAACTGTCCCATTAATTAACTTTTAATCTGTTTCTTTATTGAACGTTGGGGCAACGTTCACAAAAAAAATAGAACACTAGGATTGTCTCCTGTCGTGGGAGCGTTTACAAACTTACAAGTTCACATACACATGACACCCAGACCTGAAACAACAATTTGTGGAACACTCAAAGAGTTGCTCCGTAATCGAACCCGCTGTACGTTGCGCGGCAGCGGGTCGCCCAGCCACTGCACCAACTGTGCAATCAACCAATGTTCGACCATTATAAATGTAAGAGATGTTTGAACAAAAGGACGATGGGATCGTGATACGTGTTGAAATGACGAATTTTATTAAAATAGCAGACCAAAGGCTCGCTAGATTACGCCGTGGCGGGATGAGCTCCGGCGCGATCTCATAGTAGTACGAGATCCCGCCTTGAACGACCTTCACCGAGATGCTTATTTGATGAAACATATTTTATATTCAATTTAATATGTCAATAATTATATTCCGTATGGGTTGCCTAATAAATTTCAGTCCAGAACATGACTAATTAATAATTTAAAAAATATTTTTTTTCAAATGTTTCACCGGTTTGACTATTAAACAAATTCCATTTCAATCGAAAGTATGAAGCCCATAGAATATGGAAACGTTAGGTTGCCTATTGTATTCCAGTCATAACTCTCGGGTTGCCAGGTCTAAACAGGTAAATTTATAGTAGGATTTTGCAACGGCCTGATAATTTAATCAAATTTAATTCAAAATAAAGATTATATAATTATGAACACGGTAAAATAGGGTTGCCTGCGAAAAATCAGTCCTGAATTAGGGTTGTCGAATTTTAAAAAGTGAAATATTGCCGCGAGTGAATAGGTAAGACTGAGAGGTCCCAAGCAACCGTTCCGTGCGTTGGAAGAGGACAGAGTATAACAGCTGCTTTTTAATGCTGCTGCTGCTGTTTTTGTGTCATTAACAGAAGCTGCTGATATTTTCACTGAATCTAAAATAAAAATAGTTCAAGAATTTATAGCTTGTATGTATAGGATTAAGAATTGCACTAATGTGAATAATGCAAGATATCGCATTATTATGAAAAATTACTCTGCTAAAGAAGACAGTGAGCAGTTTCTAAAAAAAACAAAAGGCTTTGACTCTAACTCCATACCTCCGTGCTGGATATCATTACCACAAAAAGTTTTACAAACTATTTAAGTAAATTCGATGTGGCTGAATGCAACAGATCCAATATGTATCAAACTTAAACCTGAGAGCTGTGGTTGGTACTTAGATGAATATTTAAAACCACGAGGATTTATTGGGGATCATGCACCTTTAAGAATAGATGATATTGTTGAAAGAACCGAAACAGAGAGAGATGACGAAGAAGATGCAGGTGTCGAAGATCTAAGCTTTATTTCCGATGACTCAGGAGCTGAATAATAAAAAAATATATTTCTTTATAATTTTGTATAGGTAATAAACAGTGATTTTTTTAGTTTTTTTTAGAAATTGCTCACTGTCTTCTTTAGCAGAGTAATTTTTCATAATAATGCGATATCTTGCATTATTCACATTAGTGCAATTCTTAATCCTATACATACAAGCTATAAATTCTTGAACTATTTTTATTTTAGATTCAGTGAAAATATCAGCAGCTTCTGTTAATGACACAAAAACAGCAGCAGCAGCATTAAAAAGCAGCTGTTATACTCTGTCCTCTTCCAACGCACGGAACGGTTGCTTGGGACCTCTCAGTCTTACCTATTCACTCGCGGCAATATTTCACTTTTTAAAATTCGACAACCCTAATTCAGGACTGATTTTTCGCAGGCAACCCTATTTTACCGTGTTCATAATTATATAATCTTTATTTTGAATTAAATTTGATTAAATTATCAGGCCGTTGCAAAATCCTACTATAAATTTACCTGTTTAGACCTGGCAACCCGAGAGTTATGACTGGAATACAATAGGCAACCTAACGTTTCCATATTCTATGGGCTTCATACTTTCGATTGAAATGGAATTTGTTTAATAGTCAAACCGGTGAAACATTTGAAAAAAAATATTTTTTAAATTATTAATTAGCCATGTTCTGGACTGAAATTTATTAGGCAACCCATACGGAATATAATTATTGACATATTAAATTGAATATAAAATATGTTTCATCAAATAAGCATCTCGGTGAAGGTCGTTCAAGGCGGGATCTTAGACTATAGCGAAATGGCAACAACGACTGTCGCAAACGAGGGCTGGGCTTTTACGAAGCAGTCATGCCAGCTAAGGAGGAGGCGGGAAGCGCGAGGCAGCTAAGCGCTGCCTTGTCTCAACCCAGCTACGCCACTTCGGGCGTCGGGGATCCCGGGACGATATCCGGTCACTGTAAGCACAGGCCTGCGGACGGTAAGCATGGGTAGCTCGGCGCCCGACCAGAAGGACCAGACCCGTGCGTACGGCGCACCGCATTCTGCGCGCAGTTTGTTCTTAAAGAAATCAGCTGGAGAGGAGGCAACAAATTCTTTAATGGCATTTTGACCCGTCTCTCGGGCATTGAATTTTATTCCCGCCAAGTAGTTATCTAAATTCTGGAAAAAGTAGTAGTCTGTAGGCGCAAGGTCTGGTGAGTAGGGTGGATGACGGACAGATTTGTTTACCTTTGTTATTCTTTCACGCATTGTCTACGGTTTTGGATGAAATATAGAGACGGAGTGAATTCTTGAATAACACATCGAGTAGTTTTTATCCCGGGTACGTTGGTGAAGCCGCTGGCAGAATCTAGTATGGGATTAACACCTCCATGGCTCTATCTGTCTTTTCAGCCGTTGTATTTTGTTATGACTATCTTTAAATGAAAAGCTTCAAATGTTAAATAAATTATTTAATTTCAAATTTACATACCTAGGCACATAGAAAATAGTAATTATATTATATTATTCATTAAAATGTTATGCCTCACGCACGTGAATTATTCGAGAAAAGATCTACAACGGCGAGAGTCCCGCAGCCCGCTGCATGTTGCGTGACAAGTGGCGACACCTGCAACGTACATGCATGTCAGGGGACGTATGTCTGCGTCACTGTGCGAGTTTTTACCGCACCCACGTGCGAATTTTGTAGATAAAGGTAGACAATGGCGCAGTTGCGACCAATCAGCTGTAAGCATTTGGCGACCCACGCCACGCGACATTATACAAGTGTGGCTCTAACTATAATAAATGTATAAAACCGATTGGCTCCTGGCGCACTCGGGTCCACGACACTCGGTTGACGAGTCGCGGCCAATATATTAGCGGCATAATTCGCGACGGCTCTGACTCGTGTCTCCGTGCTCTGCCTGAACGCGTGAGGGCGCATTCAACAGATACTTAAAAGTAACGTTCAAACACGCATACACGCGCGGCGCTGCGCGGTGCGCGACCGTGTAGTTATTTAATTAGTTGTATGGAGCTTCTATTAAAAACTTAGATCTATCCAGATATCTTTTTGATTAATATTGGTTATTACTTTCGGCCGTCAATCGCCTACTCAAGTCAGAACGTAACGCAAGCCGTATATTTAAAATTAAAGCATATCTAGCGCTAGTTATTTTACAAGTTAATAATTTACATTCTGAACATTTTAGTCTAATTCTTGACCTGAGTATAAAACTTAAATACTTATCTAAACTCTGATCACCGTGTACCGAGAGCAATTTTATAGAATAAAAAAATGTCAAAGTGTAATGAAAAATATACAACAATGTTGTCAAAGATATTTTATACTTATTTGTCAACAAACGATTGCCCTTAAGTTTAGCACCATGATACCGCAATATTGAAATTGTCCACATAGTAGAAAAATATACATCACATATAGTAATAGTCAACAAGGAAATTAAAATATACAAAAGTTGTGTTGTTTGTACCGAAACCAAATGGATGAAAGAGATTCTTAATGTGCAATGATTGATGACATGACATCTTACGTTAATGATCAGTTATTTCTTTAATAAAGTATTCAGATAACCAGACAGTATTATCTTACTACTATGTACCGCCTTTAATCATCAATCATTCACTTCATCATTAACAAGAAAGGGATACTCTTCACTCGCCAGGCGGTTGAACACTTCTTGCTACCTGGGTGTTTCTACACATACTTTGTAGTTCATTGCGTACATCTTTTTTAATAATTTTTGAAATTAGTTATGATAAGGTTTACTGTAGTAAATGCGTGAGATAGTGACATTACAATATAAATACGCGACAATATTGTGTGGATAACTTATTATATGCGTCAACGCATGATGTTAAGCGACCCGAAATGTCGTATATGTACATACAAACAAACTGATTTCACACAAACACAACACAATTAAATCGAATAAATTGTCTGTACAACAATTAAACAACATTCACATAGTGCGCTTCACGGCGAAATATTCACCGCGTCAGTATCACACATGTACTGCACTCACAGAATATGTATGCCAGACAATCACATTCAAGTATCTCCTAAATCAAACACCCAGTCTATTGAAAACATTCCTAGTTATTGTCAAGTTGTTTGTGTTCTTTTGTCCTAGCCTAGCCTTAATTCCATTGTTGGCTATGGGTGGCATGGACAGTCTCCTCTCAGGTTTATTGAACACTGGTGTGAACTTCTGCACAGGACTCGGCGCTGCTTTCTGAGTCACAGCCTTCTGATTGAGCTGAACAGGATCTATTTCTTTATACTGAATGTGGTTTGAGAACTTGACTGATTTGGGTTTAGCCAGTTTTGTTTTCACACTAACTGGAGCCTCGTCAGCCCGCATAGTACCGACTGCTATTTTCCTAACGTTATTCTTTGATGTAGTGACTGTGAAAACCTTTTTAGAGACATCAACTGTATTCTTGAGTATGCCTGCGTATTTGAGCGCATCCTTCTCGATCGGTATAGCTTGCTCGTCCTCTTCTTTGTCGGCTTTTGAACCGAGCCGAGCATAGATTGGCTTGACCGATGCTTTTGTAGTAACTGGCGACACCTTCCCCGACTCAGAGCTACCTAGTCGAGCGAACACTGTTTTAGAAGGACCTGAAAAGATAAAGTGACATTCGGGTTAAAAAAACAAAATAACAAATGTTATATTAGACTTTATCTATACTAATATTATAAAGCTGAAGAGTTTGTTTGTTTGAACGCGCTAATCTCCGAAACTACTGGTTCGAATTGAATAATTCTTTTTGTGTTGTGTGTCTTATAGTCCAGTTATCGAGGAAGGCTATAGGCTATAAAACATTACGCTACGACCAATAGTAGCTGAGCAGAACGTGTGAAACCGCGTGGAAGTAGCTAGTGTTTAATATAATTCGTCATTTTGTTCCCCTAATCGATTTATTCTTGTATGTAGATATGTTTAGTTAGACCGTTAGATAATTTAATGGTATTTTTTACGATTTTATCACTTCCATACTGCTAGTGAAATTTCAATCGAAACAATACTAAACGACGTTGTTTTATTAATATGTAGTGACGTCACGTAACTGTTTAACTGAACTCAGAAGAGCGACTTTCGCCGCATCGAAATGCTGCTCACTAAATTATCTCCTGCCGCTGTTTGAAGCTAGTTTGAGTTATCTCGCCAATAGTTACGTGACGTAAATAAACAATTGATTTAATATGTTTTAATAACAACTATCGTGAGACATACTAAATTAACTAAAATCGCGGGTTACTCACGTGAATATACTGAAAAAAGCTCTACTAGTTTCGAACCACAGAGGGGGTGCTTCCTCATGAGCAGCTTGCGCGGTCGCGGCGATGTCGCGCAGCTATCGCCGCCACGAAACTAGTAGGTTTGTTCAGTATATGCACGTGAGTAACTCGCGATTTTTAGTTAATTAAACATGTCGCAGGAATATTATTATTCTACATTTTAATAAATACATTACCTTCTTTAACTACTGTTTGCTGTGTGGGAGCGAAACGTATCAGCCGCGACTTCTTCAGATTAATGTCGTCATTCCTGTTAGACAAATAAGACATACAATAAATGATTTAGTTGAAGTCAACATGTTAAGGTATTAAATGAATTCAAACGAGTTTCATTGTTAAAAAAGAATCTCACCCAATGTCCAGAGCCTTTCTTTTTAGTTGCGACGTGGGACTAGGAGAGTCCTGCACTTGTGGATTGCGCGTGTAGTGCTCCAATATCCGGCTGGCCGCTGTATCGGGGAATAATTGCATTAAAAAACAAGCAAACACAATACTTACATAAATGAACAATCTGTGAATCACACAAAGTATTGTTCTGTGCAGGATTTGAACCTGCTACACCTTGCGCCATCGTGCCAACCGTGCAATCACATCGGGACACCAAATTATATGTTTTAGTTGGTGGAAGAAAATATTTTGAAAGTATCATCCACATTGACTCTCTTTGAAGCATATTGGTAAGAATTTTGGAGATAGTATGATTCTTTCTACAGCAGTATAAAATAAAATGTACCAGTAAAATAGTAACCAGAAAAGATTATTAATCATTCCTTATCATCTCATCAATCATCAGTACATTGCAGATTAAACAGTTGAATAAGTACGAACGTGAGGAAGGTTGTGATGACACAGTAGTGCGCCCGGTTACTGCAGCAATAGGGACTTTGGTGGGCACTGCCGAGCTCAGCACGCGGTCTCTGGCAGTGTTCTCATGTACTTGTTTGGCATGCCTGGAACCACGTGGACTAGTAAATTTTTTGTTTTATTTACACAACAAAGTTTAGGAAAATGCCAAGACATATTTATTAGTCAGTCAGTATCATTACAACTTTGTTGAAAGAATCCACTACAGCCCTGTATGTGTACAACCCTTTACAACCACTTGACTTTTGATAGACGGAATTGGTGTTGCATAAACAAGGGATTTCATGTAAAATTCTGCCAGTATTAGTATTAATAAATGTTTATTCATGTATTGACAACAAATTAAAACTAAAATCAAACCTGTAGTTTTTTATTTATTGATGGTTTTGTAGTTTGATCGGGATTTTTTCACCAAAACCGAAAATGTTGAATATCTCAGAAACTAGTCACTTTCGGACCAGAGACCTCAGGGCTACTTTTGTAGGAAATTGGTTGTATTATCCTGAGAGGAATACGTCGAGTTAAAAGTCACCCTGTATATCATACTAGGCACTAACCGCAAACAGAAAGAAGAATGAGAACGAAAATAATCATTGAGCACTAACCTCAATATGGCGATAACATCTCCCATTCTAGAAATCCCCATGTCTCGCAAGTACTCCTTGTTGAGATCCAGGAGCATGTCACTCTGGATGCGGTTCTCCGTAAACGTGAGGGCGTATGTTGCAGACACGTCCGACGGAATACCAGCCGCCGTGAAGAAGTTTACCCACATACCTGTTCAAATAAGCAATGAGAACCTTCGTAAACAAACATTATCCATGTTTGTTTACGAAGGTTTCATTCATTCATCGTATGATTTAATGATAAAGAAATGGAGAAAGAGTTGCTTACAAAAACATGAAATTTTGGTTCGTTTTTCTATTTACCCGACTGCCAAAGAAGGAGGGTAATGTTTTTTGTATTATATGTATGTATTACCATACCCCGGGAGACGTAAGCAAAACTATAGTTCATGACAACGAAAATCACAAAAATATTGGTTTAAGTTTAGTACATACTTTAGTTTACTATGATTTTCGAAATACTATAATATTATTGTTTTAATATCTATTGTTTGGTAACCATAATACATAACATTTAGTAGGCAGAACACAAAGCGTAGGCAAAACCTACCACAAATAAGATATTCGTGGTATATTTTATTCGTCTCGCTGGATCCGTATAACCTTGGAGTGTTTTATTTTTGGAATGGTACAAATGTACGTAAATTTTACTAAATAGTACTTACTTGTCAAGTTGGAATCCATTTTCGCAACCGCAGCACACATGATAGATCTAACCAATAGTTAAATTTACTCTATCAATACTTATTCTAAATTGTAATCCAGCCCCCAAAACAACAATAACCATAGACCATACCATAGGCCATAGAGTATAAACCAAGACCATAGGCTAGATAGATAGAGGAGACCAAAAGACCATAGACCTTTATGATCTCCATAAATTATCTATTATCTATTACACACAACCACTGATATGATAAGAGTATGGATAAGAAACAACTAGGAAAAAATCGTACCTACACCATGATCAACGCCGTGTCACCGGGCCCAGATCTGCTGAATCAGGACATTACACCTACTTTGATGCAACGAAGGTTCTACGGAGTATTGCAACATTCGAACTGCTGAGTCGTCTTGTCCGTGCCCTTGTCATTCCATTACATTTTCTTTTAATTTACAGTCAAAATTAATTGTTACAAAAATCTTACGTTCTACATTAACCACATTTTTTTGGTTTTTTTTTCATATATACACAATACATGTTTTATTACATTTACCTTACTGGATCGGCCCACACGCGCGATGAGGGAGCCGACGTGCTCCAGCAGAAGGCGCCCGTTCACGAGCATGACGTGAGGGCCAGCAATCGGTCCGATCAACCATTTCGTAGGGAACGGAGCGACCCAGCCCACAGCGCCACCGACTGTAGAACATTTAAGAATGCATGACGTCTGCTCACGCAGCAGTAAGTCGATTCCAGTAGTGCCAATGGATTTTGTCAGTCTTATTGATAAAATTACATTACGTTACATTATATTTACTACATTTTAACATTATTAAACACACACAATATACATATATAATATACATATTGCAATGAGATGGATAGATCTGTGTCGTGAATGTTTAAGATTTTGTGAGAGGATGGATGATACGTAGCTGATTATAATGTTAATGTTTGTGTCAAATTACAATAATTACTCTAATTACCAAATTTGTTATTCAAATGTATAGTTTTTTTTTGTTTTTTGTTAATTTTGTTTCTGAATTGTATTAATTTTTATTTCTTGTATTTGATTACCTAATTAGTTTGTTTTTAATTACCTAAATAATTGCATTTATATATATAAGTTTAACAGTATAACTTAATGGCGCAAGCTGTGGTGTTGTATATGTACATTTTATTTTATTTTAAAAGACTTCATGCACACACTAATGTACAAGGTGGGCTTAATGCCTAGGGCATTCTCCTCCAGCCAGACCTTTGGGTGATGCAGAGACAAAAACAATGGTCGATGCAAGAAGCAAGCGTATTTAAAACTCAACAGAAATACATAGAAAAACGGATAGTATAGACTTACCTACATAAAATAAATCCTATAATAATAACAATAAACTTACACAATTATATTACATATACTACTTAGACGTAACATAATTATACATAGTATATTGATAGTTACGATTCTGCCAACCTCCTCAAAACTAGCTCCCGCACCTTCCGCTTGAATGACAAACGACTGGGCACCATCCTGATATCGGGAGGGAGCGCATTCCACAGAAGAATAGACTGAACAAAAAAGGAGGAATGAAGAAATTTAGTACGATGTGTTGGACATTGGAGGAGGCGATTATTAGAAGAGCGAAGATATTTGCTGTGGTTTGCGCATGTATATTGGAAGTGTAAGGACAGATAATGAGGCGAATGAGGCGAGTCAAGAACAGAGAAAAGAGTGGTTAGCGCCCTTAGTTCCCTGCGCTGTCGTATGGGCAACCACTTTAATTGCAATCGGTATGCAGAAACATGATCATATTTACGCAGGTTGAAAACGAATCGAATGCAGTTATTCAGAAGTCGGTCAAGTTTATTGAGGAGATCTGCATTCAGGTCATAATAACACACATCAGCATAATCTATAATAGGGAACAACAGGGCCTGTACCAGCATTGCCTTGGTGTCGGACGGAAGCAAGTTTTTAACGCGATAAAGTCAGTCACCTTTTTGCTTACACTAATGACTTGTGCATGCCAGTTAAGATTGCTGTCAATATGTAAACCGAGGTCCTTGACGTCACTAGTAAACGGAATGATCGCACCGTCGTAAAGGACATTTTCAAATTATGTCCCTATTCCTGATAGCCATTTTCAAGTTATAGTCCAGGATCCCCCGCCCACTCTCACCCACCGCCCGTCTGATTAATTTGCTGATCGCGTGGTCACTGGTATTCGTGTAGTAAACACAGCTGTTAGTGTGACGGGATATAGCTACCACGGCGTGCGGTACACTGTCGTGTATCTGCTGTATTCACAACAACCACTGCCGCGTACGAAAGCCCCTTGTTTTATATATATCCCCAATCTGGTGACTATATGTCCGTATAGGGCGCCCTCTACCGACGGCCCCATTCATATTCGCTCTGTCTGTATACTTCATTCAAACATCCTTTCTATATGTCCAAACCAGTGTAACATTCCCTTTTCAATTCTTGTCACTACATCATCTTTCAATCCGCACCTTTCTCTAATAACACAATTTTTCACTCGATCACTCAATTTTAGTCCACCCATACTTCTCAGAGCTCTCATTTTCACCACATTAATCCTGTTTTCATGCTTCTTCTGCCACACCCATGATTTACTACCATACATAAGCGTTGTTGTCAATACACACTGCATTACAGCAAGTCGAGCTTTGCTGGATATTATTTTACTTGACATTATTGAGTGTCAAGCACCATCAACACTATTTCCCGCTTTCACTCTCCTTTCAATATCCCCGTTACACTTTACATCTCTCGTAAATAGTGATCTCAGATACACAAATTCATTCACTTGTTTCAATTTTTCATCACTTTTTTTTAAAGGGGGGAAAACCATCGAATGTCAGACTCTTACTGACTAAAAACCACCCCGTTCCTTCTACTGCACGTCGAGCCGGAGCCCCGGTTACCCGTTAGGTTCTCCGCGATCACAAAAATGTAAATTACTAGAACTTTATTGAAAATAATATACAACGTTAAATAAAATAAATAATAGAAAAGTTGCCGATTCGGAGTCGCGGAGAACCTAACGGGTAACCGGGGCTCCGGCTCGACGTGCAGGAGAAGGAACGGGGTGGTTTTTAGTCAGTAAGAGTCTGACACTCCCTCCCGCCTCACCCAGGCGGGAGCAGTCATTCGATGATTTTCCCCCCTTAAAAAAAAAACCTTAAACTCGGAAGTACGTACGAACGATAGCTTTAATTATTGTTATTGTTCCGAGAACGTAACTAAGAAGAACCCATGAAAATCCTCATTGTCTTTGATAGAGGTGTAACTAATAGGTACATTCATAATAGGCACAGGTATTGTAATACAAGTCACGTACTTATATTAATATTTGGTAATGGCGAATGTAAAGTAATAGGTTACCAGGTATTAGTCAAATATTAGGGACGCGTAATAGCGACTCACCTCGCTCACTAGTCTATTACCTACTATTTGCCGATCACCGTTAAATTATAAGGATAATTTAATAACAGTTTTACCTCTGTAATAGGCAATGATATTATAAGCTATAATATCATTGGTAATAGGCATATTTCATATTCAGAGTCAGTCATTTCATATTAAAATAAAAAAACAATAAAAAATAATATTTGACTAATACCTAGTAGTAGGTATGGTATCATAATATGCGTTACCTGATATATTCAATGATATGATTACCTAAGAATTACCTTAATATATAACATCTCTAATCTTTGACATTTGAGCTGTCAGCTTCTAATTCGAATTCTGCCAAGTGCCAAGATTCTGCCTGCAGTACAGTTTCCCAAATTCCAAAGAGTATAGTAATATATAGGGTACCAAATTCCCATAAACCTCTAGGTAATACTCTTTGGTGTCATACGATAAAAAAAATGGTTTTCATTTTTACGTTACACTTTTAGATTTAGAATAATTCTAATTTCATCATTTCATCAATATTGATGACATAATAAAATAATTTCAATCCAATGCTTATCCCAACTATTACCAGGAATTTGTTATCATCAGCTAATTTAAAAATTATTCAAAGAGGTAAATTGAATCTTAGACTTTCGTTTGTAAGTGTAGGTATTTAAAATTAACATATAATTGTAATTTGCTGTCTTTTTTCAGTTTCAATCAACGGTTGTCTTAAGAAAATGTCAACAGCATTAGAAGCTTTACCCAAAGTGGACATAGATCCCACTGGAGTCTTCAAATACATAATGTTAAATGTATATGATAAAACAAAAGTTAATGTCGAACCTGTACTTATTGTCCGCGGCTATAAGCGATGCAATTACCATTCTGATATTTATGATGAGGTAAGAATTACGACAACAGTTTTAATGCACATTTATGAAGCAGTGCTATCACTAGTATTCATAGGAAAAAAATTAGTACTGCACTTACTGCTGTGATTTGCGTGTGAATGTGAAGTTACGTGTTTGTAACCACCTATGACTTAGGAGAATAATATCTTAGTATGAGGCAGCATGTGATAAAAATTTACAAGGATTGGCTACAAAAAGCTTTACACATAGAGAAAGTTGAAGTGAGATAGGGAAGCATTTGCCCTCTAGTGGGATGATTAGGGCTCAAAATAAGTAAATAAAGGATGGTTTGCAATAATGTATGGGTGACGCAACCACATCCGCCACAGTTCTGGGTACTTCTATTTGAACTTTATCACAGGCATGGTTCACTGTGCCACCGAAACTCATCAAATTCTGTCCTGGGGTTCTTTGTATATTAACATTGTCTTGTTAGGTTGAGCTGTAAGTTTGTTACATGTATAGGCGGCACATGCACGTCTTCCACAGATAAAACTACTTTTGGTCCAAAGGTACACAGCCGTGGTTAGGCCTTCTAAGTGTAACAAAAACTTTTTCAACCAATCACACACAAACATACATACAGGTCAAACAGAAAACCTCCTTTTTTTGTAAGTTGGTTAAAAAGTATGTATTTCAAAAATTCAATATCGGTGACCTGTATTGACTGGCCCATATTATAGTAATAATTTGAATTAAAGATGGTAATGAAAGTTTGCGATTTATTTGTAAATAATAATTATTTCTTGATTAGACAGTCAACATTAGACAATCAATCAGTCTTTATTTTACTCCACTAGGACGAAACTAAAGTAAGAAATAAAATAAACACTAACTTAACCAAACAGTTATAATTATTACAAAACACTAACTTCTTAATTAACTAAAATTTGGTCAATAAATGCACCATTTACAAAATTCAAAATCAATAACAATAACAGTACAACTAATGAGGTAATGACTTTTGCAAACAACAAGTTATAAGTATGATATAGGTAGGTGTTTATGATTTACTAAGCATATTTGTAACAGTTCGCTCAATCTAACATCGGCGAAACCAGAACGAAAGCTGAAGGTTTCGCCGAAGATGGTTTTTTGGCCAGAGGTGGCCGATGTCGATGCCGAAGCCGAAGGCGAAGCTTCGGTTGGACACTAGTAAAGTTATGTTTGATATAATAGAACACATTGGGTAATCCCAATTATTATTATTAAACTGTCAAACACCAAGCGGTCACCGGTGACCGCAACCTATTGTTCTATAATTGTGTCTACAAAACCGGTACTCGACGAGTTAATAGAAAAATAAGTTTTTTTTCTTTGTTAGTTACATTTTTATGTTGAATAAATAAATAGTTTATTGTTATATCTATTGCTCATAACTTATTGAAAATTATTACAGGTCCAAGAAAGACTACAGCCCTTAGACTGTGAACCTCTTGGAGGAGGAAGAATATCTCATGACCCTGAAAATAAAAAGATACATATTTATGGCTACTCTCAAGGCTACGGCAAGGCAGACCATGACATGGCGGCTAAATTAATCAAGAAAGTCTACCCTGGCTATAGCATCACAGTCAGTGATGAAGGATATTAAAGTTTACTGGAATTTTTTCATCAACCTCTTTATTATTTACACCTGTACAGTAAATGCATTATAATAACATTTTGTTGTATTTTTTCCTCCTATTTTCATTAGAAAAACAATATTTATTCTAAATTACCACCAGGCGACATGGCCAAACACCGGGCGACCCACATCGCATCTTTTAAAAAATAAAAATTACTGACGGTATTGACTGCCTCATTGGTCGAGTGGTCCCAAGTGCGACTGTTGAGATTCAAAATATTACATACTGGGTTTTTTTTAGGTGCAGTAGTAGCACGGAGTATAATTGTGCCCGGTAAGCGGTATATGACAATAGACTCACTCCTAATATTACATTGGACTCGACATAAATAGTGAAAAGAAGAATGAAAGTGTTAAATGTACAGTGACATATTACCAATAGTTTACTTCAATGTCGTTTAAAAAAAAAAGAAATTAAAGATTTGTGAAATCGTTGCTGTGGTGTTTAGATGGACTCGTACTGACTAAAAACCACCCCGTTCCTACTTCGAGCCGAAGCTCCGGCAATCCGCTGTCTTCCGCGGCTCCGAAATTGCGAAAACTTAAGGTACCTATCCATTATGAATTGGAGGTGGAGGTAAAAAAATTCTAATGGAATGTTTTTTTTTTTTTTTTTTTTTTTTTTTT